GGGAGCAGGGAGGGTGGGATGGTCGGAGCAAGCCCCGAAGGCCCGTCCTGGGGAGAGCGTCAGGATTTGGAGGGGAGGGAGAGCGGGCGCGGGACATTGCTTGTCGCTCATGAACAGCTGCACGTGGGCAAAGCTCAGGCGCCAGCGCTGCCTGGCCCCGGACTGTGCAAGGAGGAGGTCACCTAACACTGTTCTGATCTGTTGGGACAGACAACAGGAGACCAAGCTGAAGGACTTGCTGATACCTGAGACCCAACCCGTCCACCTCCTCCTGCTGCCAAGGTGGTTCCGACCCCGTGGGTGGAGCTCACGGACTCCAACTTCATGGCCCCGTGGCAACCCAGGCCCCCGGAACCCCTGAGTCACAACAGCATAAATCCCGGCCTGAGTGCCCGGCTGGCGTGGCTCCGTGGTTGAGCGTCGACCTATGAACCGGGAGGTTCAATTCCTGATCAGGGCACATGCCCAGGTTGTGGGCTCGATCCCCAATGGGGGGCGTGCAGGAGGCAGCCGATTCATGAGTCTCTCTCATTGATGTTTCTCTCTCTCTCCCCCTCCCTTTCTCTCTGAAATCAATAAAAGTATATTTAAAAAAGAAGAAGGCGGAGGAGGAGGAGGAGGAGGAGGAGGAGGAGGAGGAGAAGGGGAGGAGGGAGAAGAAGAAGAAGACGAAGAAGAAGAAGAGGAGGAGGAGGAAGAGGAGGAGGAGGAGAGGAGGAAGTCAATAAGGATGGAAATGAAGACAGGGACCCGTTCTTGATTGCCTTGAAGTCAAGGAAGGGCGGTAGTCAAAGGGGATGATCATGCGGAAGCCGGTGCAAGCCAACACGAATATCTGAGAGCAACGCCACCGTGCCAGCTCGGTGGGTGTCTGGGGTGTGAGGGAGGCCTGGGCCACCCGCCTCCCCTGGGAGCGAGGGCTGGCTCACGGCCACGCAGGGTTCACCCAGTGACATTGCTCCGCGTGCCCCTTCTCCCTGGAAGGTGCATGTGCGTGGTGTGGGCCTCTGTCATAAATCTCGCCCTGAGTAGCATGTGGACACAGGGCTTCGTCGGCGGACAGCTGCGCGGCTAATTTTAGGTCTGATTAGGGAAGTAGAGCAGGCTTAATCTCCAGGGCAGGGAGGAAACAGTGACACACCACTGGGCATCTGTTCCCACGAAGCGTCCCAGAATAGCTCTCCCCTGGCCACCGGCGCTGGGAGGATGGGACTCAGGGGGGCTATTCGCGTCCCCTGACATGGTACTTCATCCCCTTCCCACCCACAGGTCCTGGCACCCAAGGGGAGCCCCGGAGAACTCCCTGGGTGCATCTTAATGACCCTCAGGAGATGAGTCCATGGGAGAAGGTGAGGCCCAGCCAAACGTCCCATCTCCACATTCCCCACCGGCTCTGTTGGAAGCAGTCGGCCAAGGAGCCAACGGAATTTGTACGAATAAATAAACGGTATTTTACGCACATCAACGCTTACAACATCCTCACACCGTCTTTCTTTTTTAAAAAAAATATATTTGTATTGATTTCAGAGAGGAAGGAAGGGAGAGGGAGGGAGAGAAAGAAACATCCATGATGAGAGAGAATCATGGATCGGCTGCCTCCTGCACGCCCCACACTGGGGATCGAGCCTGCAACCCGGGCCTGTGCCCTGACCAGGAATCAAACCGTGACCTCCTGGTTCCTAGGTTGATGCTCAATCACTGAGCCGCAATGGCCAGGCTTACACCTTATTTCTTAGTGCCTGCAACCAACCTAGGAGTGAGGACTTGCTAGTCATACTCTGAGGACCACCTAGCGAGAGGGCTATCATACAAGTCTTCTGGTTTCAACACCTCGGTTCTTATCTTGGGGTTGAAAACAAGGAAATTCAAAGGCAGAGGGCAAGGAAGGAACTCTTATCCTTTGAGACACATGGAGGGACCTGGAGAGCATCACGCTGAGCGAAATAAGCCAGTCAGAGAAAGACAAGTCTCACATGACCTCACTCCTGTGTGGAGTCTAATGAACAAAATAAAGTGATGATCAAAACAGATCCAGGGACGTAGATGCATGGAACAGACTGAGGAATCTCAGAGGGAAGGTGGCGGTGGGTGGGTGGAAGAGATCAACCAGAGAACTTGTATGCACATGTGCATAACCTGGGGACACAGACAATAGTGTGGTGAAGGCCTGAGGTGGCGGGGGGCGGGGGGGAAGGGAAAGGACGGGCTCTAAGGGGTCAATGGCGGGAGAGGGATAAGGGGACATATGTAATACTTACAACGATAAAGATTTTTTTTAAAAAAAGGCAGAGGGCACACATTGATTTACCCTCTGAGAGGAAACAGCCATTCGATTGAGCAGAAAGACTCCCCCACCCTTAAGCACATCGTTCCATGAGTACGAGCCATGTAGACGGTACCCCGAATTCAAACAAACTTAACAGCGTCTGACTGTCTCCCATATGGTGGTTTAGAAATAGAATGCTGGAAACGGGCTGCGAAAGGCACCCCGGCGGTGGTATACGAGCGAAGGCTCGCGTCTCAGACGGGGTTTAAAACCCCAGCGCTTTCTGCTTAAATCCCAGCGCGTAACTTCACCTCTTTCCGCTCCCGTTTCTTCATTCCCGGGAAATGTGGGGACAGTCACGGCACCTGCTGCTCCCACAGGGTAGAAACTCAAAGGAGAGGACGCCTGCTGAGAGCTCAGCACGGGGCCGGGCACAGGAGGAAGGTCACAGCCGCGCCGGTTCCAGGGTATTGGGCCGTGAGAAGTCTCCGTGCCATGGAGGTTTGGTTTTCATTTGTCATATGGCTCCCCAGCTGTAGGCCACCGCTGAGCCGTTCTCTCTCACTGTAAACTGACTTTGCCAGCTCCAGGATCTCACATGAACGGAATCATAAAATATAGGTGCTGCCCGGCCAGCATGGCTCACTGGTTGAGCATCAATCTGTGAACCAGGAGGTCACGGTTCGATTCCCGGTCGGGGCACATGCCCAGGTGGTGGGCTCCATCCCCACTAGGGGGCTGCAGGAGGCAGCCGGTCCATGATTCTCTCTCATCATGGATGCTTCTATCTCTCTCTCCCTTCTCCCTTCCTCTCTCTGAAAGCAATAAAACTAAATAAATGCATGAAATTTTTAAAAACCAGACATATGCAAATCGTACGCATCCACATGGACACAGATGGAAATAAAAGTCACGGAAGTCCACTGCTGGTTGGTGCTGTGACCGAGTTTGTGACTGAAGTTTTGTTCTTTCTCAATGACCAGGACTTGCTAGAATTTCATGGAAACTCACTTTGCAAGACATTTGCACGTTAGAGGGGAGGGATCTGCAAGGAGGTACAGAGAACAATGACTCCCAACAAAAGACAGTCTCCAGGCACAAGCAGTCCCCCGGCCAAACCAGTGTCAGAACGGGGCATACCACGTACCCATCTCGGATATTCTGAATGTGTGTGGGCCTGACGAAGGCTCTGAGAATTCTCACGGTAAAGAAATCGTCCACCCTTCGTTTCACCCAGTACTTCTCAATACATTTGATGAGGAATTTGTTTTTTTGGGTGTTTTTGTTTTCTTGTTAATCCTCACCCAATGATATTTTTTCATTGAATTTTAGAGAGAGGGAAAGACAGAGAGAAATATCGATGTGAGAGAAACTCATCGATTGGTTGCCTCCTATACACGCCCTGAACAGGGCCCGGGCTGGGGAGGAGCCTGCAACCGAGGTACGTGCCCTTGACCGGAATCGAACCCGGGACCCTTGGGTCCACAGGCCGACGCTCTATCCACTGAGCCACGCCGGCTAGGACTTGGGTTTTGTGCTCTTTTCTGAGATATGATTGTATTTCACTCAGGAAATGCCAGTGTCGAGAGCTGCCAGTGACAATGGATGATAATGGTCTCACTGTGGTGACCCCAGGAGACAAATATTGGGTGGGAACATGGGCCCGAGATGGATGCTGGGATGCGGAGCGGATCGAGGCCGGGCACGGAAGGGCTGCGTTGCCAAACGACCCCATGGATCTTGGGAATTGCCTGGGCCTTTTCTAATATTCTTTCAAGGTCCTCGCTGAGTCACGGCCGTGAATGATGGAGCATGATGGTTCCAAATATCCCTAACGCCTTCATGTCTGACCGTCTCCCTTTTTAAGCTGGTGATTCACTCCCCTCGGGCGCGCAGGGCCAGACGGAATGGCAGAGTGTCATTTTCCGATCGTAAAAAAAAAAAATCTGAAAACCAGCCCACAGCCACGATGGACGACTGTGAGGCACAGATTTCCTATCGGAAAGTTACCTGGCTGACTCCTCAGAGAGCCCCAGGAATGGCATCTTTCCCTGTCGTTTGCGGACTGTCTTTTAAGGATCATACTCACTAATGTAGAGTTACCTGCGAGTGAAAAGAAGACCTGAAGCCCGGCTGGTGTTGCTCAGTGGTTGAGCGTCAACCTATGAATCATGGTTCGATTCCCGGCCAGGGCACAGCCCGGGGTTTCGGGCTCGATCCCCAGTGTGGGGCGTGCAGGAGGCAGCCGATCCATGATTCTCTCTCCTCACTGATTATTTCTATCTCTCTCTCCCTCTCCCTTCCTCTCTGAAATCAATAAAAATATATTTAAGCAATAAATAAATTAAAAATACAAAGAACGACAGAAGTCTTCGGGCAGAAGAAATCGGCTTTGAAGTCGGAGAGAGATCTGGGTACAAACCCCAACTCTGCCTTTTGCAGCCTTGAGAGATTGCGGCTACAGCTCTTCGCACATTTGCATTTCCTCGTGTGAAAATGAGGATCATAATATACCCACTCGGGATTGTTGTGAGGATGAGAGGAGATGACATATGGTGCGTGGGGGCGGGGGCGGGGGGTGGCAACTTGTGACAAAGTCAAGTCATTGTACCGTGTCCACAACGGGGGAAACCCTCATTCAGCAGAGCCGGAAGCACCCTGAGAACGTACATGAGGCCTTTGCCGTCCCTGCTTCTACTCCAGACAAACAAGTCCTAACCAAAGCCCTCGGTACCTGATGATCCGGGTACGCTTCCTGGTGTACGGGGGGGTGACCTTGAAGAGCAGTTCCATGGCTCCATTGATTCCCAGCATGGCTCCCGTGGTGACTGAGAAAGACAAAGGTGCAGTTGGTATTGAACTATAAGGACCAAGCATTGGCCCAGCCGGCCGGCGTGGCTCCGTGGTTGAGCGTCTACCTATAAACCAGGAGGTCACGGTTCGATTCCCCACCAGGGCCCATGCCCGGGTTGCGGGCTCCACCCCTAGTAGGGGGCCTGCAGGAGGCAGCCGATCAATGATTCTCTCTCATCATGGATGTTTCTATCTCTCTCTCCCCCTCCCTTCCTCTCTGAAATCAACAAAAAAGATATATACAAAAAAGCACACACACATACAAATAAATAAAGCAATCTCCTGGCATATAAGTCCGCAAAAGGCTAGGATTAAGTAGAGCTGAGGAGGAGAGGGTGCTAAGAGCATAAATTCTAACTGGAAGACGGGAGACTTGGAAGAGGATAACAGTAAGAAATCTTCAACCGACTTCTTCCCAGCTGGAGCCTGGCCCAAGGTCAGACCTCTGACGGCTCTATAAATATCCCCTCCCCCCCACCCCGGCCAGCTCAGCGCTGCCAAAGGGCTCTCTGGCTGCCACCAGCCCTTCTGGTCCCAGCCCATTCTTTCTGCAGGGAGGAGCTGTTGAGAAAGCTGCGGGAACAAGCAACCGCGGCGAACCATTCACCAAAGAGAGAGCAAAGCATGGGTGTGTGAACTCTGCTTGCCTGCCTTCGGAGAAGGCAATGCGTAGAGCCTGGTCAGATCATTTTTAAAGTGGTTTAGGAAACCGTTCGTGGGTACAGTGCATGCAGTCTTCAAGCAGGAGGCAAGCGGCCACCTCCCCACACCCACCAGCGAATCCCAGCAGTTTTCAGAGCTCCCTGCTGAAGGAAGTCTTATATGTAAGAATGAGATGTTTCAAACGGTGGCTGGCAAGCTGCACATGGGGGTGGCACACCTTCTGGCTACTCCTCCGTGAGAGCTCTCCTCTAACCGAAGCTTCATCTCTTTGTTTCCCTTTTCCTTTATTAGAAACTAGAGGCCCAGTACATGAAATTCGTGCACAGGGTGGGGGGGGAGGGAGAGCAGGATGGGGGGAGGGGAGGGCTGCCTGCCAGGCCTGCACCCTCTCCAATCTGGGATCCCTCTCGCAATCCGGGTCTACTGGCTCCTAACCGCTCACCTGCCTGCCTGCCTGATCGCCCCTAACCACTCTGCCTGCCTGATCTCCCCTAACTGCTCTCCCCTGCCAGCCTGATCGCCCCTATGTGCTCCCCTGCTGGCCTGATCGCCCCTAACCACCTCTGCCTCAGCCCCCGCCACCGTGGCTTTGTCTGGAAGGACGACCGGAAGATGTCCGGTCAACTCAGTCTAATTAGCATATTACCCTTTTATTAGTATAAAAGGGTTTGCACAGTTCCTATCAGCCCTTCCCAAATAATCTCTGATTCTCTGCTCAACAAATATGAGTGTGCCCAGCTGGCTGGCATGGCTCAGTGGTTGAGCATCGACCTATGAACCAGGAGGTCACAGTTCGATGCCCGTCAAGGGCAATGGACAGACACAGCCATTGGTTGCCTCCCGTACAAACCCCCGACCGTGGCCGGGATCGAACCTGCAACCCAGGTGCGTGCCTGGGTGTCCCAGCCCAGGTCTGGAAGCGCCCCACAACTCCCCAAAATGCCACAGGGGAGTCGCTCACCGCTCGAGGCGAACACGCGCAGGGCCCAGAGGCAGTGGAGAAGGTTCAGGCTGTGGGACAGGTTTTTCCTGGCGAGAATCAACGTGACGTCGAGTGCTTCCAAATCCAGGGCCTTCTGTCCAAACTTCTTATCTACGAACACAAGTCAATCCCTCTTAGTTGGGTTGCACATTCCTTCTGAAGGTTGCACAATGGGTGTGAGGGCGGGGAAGGCAAAGGTGACGGTGGAAGGAAGCTAACCTTGGCCGGGGAGCCTCCGAAGATCTGTGGGGAAATGCGGCTGAGTGTGTCCCCACTAGAACCAGATGGCTCAGAAAAGCTAAGTCCGGGCTGCACCCTGCCTTTTGCTCCTAAATACTTTCAAGTGCATTTCTTTGTTTTTGTGTTTGTTTGTTTTGGTAATCCTCATCCGAGGATGTTTTTCCATTGATTTTTATTTTTTTAACATATATATTTTTTTATTGATTTCAGAGAGGAAGGGAGAGAGAGAGAGAGAGAGAGAGAGAGAGAGAGAGAGACATCAATGATGAGAGAGAATCACGGATCAGCTGCCTCCTGCACGCCCCCTACTAGGGATTGAGCCCACAACCCGGGGATGTGCCCTTGACTGGAATTGAACCCGGGACCATTCAGTCCGCAGGCTGATGCTCTATCCATTGAGCCAAACCAGCTAGAGCTCAAGTACACTTCTTTGAAGAAAGACATTTTTCCCCATATAGTCACACCACCATGATTCCAAATCTAACCTAATTAGCAAAGAGTGGGTAATTTAGACCCATTTGCTTTGCTTCCTTCTCATGACCTCTTCGATGGGGCTGATCCTGCCATCACCACCCAGGTGTCTGGGGCCTCCCTCCTGCCTCCTCCCTGCACGTTCCCATGAGAGCTCCCCCAATTCCTCTCATCGCCACAAACTCATCATCCACAGGCCCGGGGCTGTGGGTACCTCGCAGGCCAACCTTGGCCAGCAGCCGGAAGAGGGGCAGGAGGATGCCGTAGTCCGGAGACGCGGTCCTTGCCGTGTCCACCAGGGTCTGCAGGAGGGCTTCGCTGCCCCCCTTGCTGATCATGTAGCGGATCCGCCGGTCCGTGCCTACGGCGGAAGCAGAGGAGAGCTGAGCCATCGGGAAAATCACTCTCGTTTCCTCGGAGCAAGCGATAGAGCAAGGACTGGTCCATTTCTCCCCAGAAACCAAAACTGTGTACTTCTTGAATCACCTTGATTAAAGTTATGCAATTAGGTAAGGGGCTGGGCTGGGGGAAGGGGTATGAAATGTAGAAATAATAGAAGAAATAAGTACCTAGGTATATCACCTTTAGCAGCTGTAAAAAAACTGAGCCTAGCCCTAGCCAGTTTGGCTCAGTGGATAGAGCATCGGCCTGCAGGCTAAAGGGTCCCGGGTTTGATTCTGGTGAAGGGCACATGCCCGGGTTGCTGGATCAATCCCCAGTAGGGGGCATGCAGGAGGCAGCCGATCAATGATTCTCTCTCATCATTGATGTTTCTCTCTCTCTCTCTCTCTCTCTCTCTCTCTCTCTCTCTCTCTCCCTCTCCCTTCCTCTCTGAAATCAATAAAAATATATATTTTTTAAAAAAATTGAGTCTAGCCCGGCTGGCATGGCTCAGTGATTGAGTGTCAACCTATGAACCAGGAGGTCACAGTTTGATTCCCAGTCTGGGCACATGCCCGGGTATGGAGTGTGCAGGAGGCAGCTGATCTATGATTCTCTCTCATCGCTGATGGTTCTCTCTCTCTCTCTCTCTCTCTCTCTCTCTCTCTCTTTCCCTTCCTCTCTGAAATCAATAAATATATCTTTAAAAACAAAAGCAAAAAAACCTCCAGGTGAATGGATCTTTCCTCCGGACACTGGAGCCTGAGTCTCTGGGGCGGGTGGGGCGTTCATTTGTGTGGTGTTGGTATTTCTTCCTCACGCAGTGCGGCTGGCACACACAGACATGAAAACTGAGGGGATGTCGCACCATCCAAAGAGCTGTGTGTGCCAGGACTCGCCACGCGGAGATGAGCTGACAGAGCCATGGCCCCGTGAACCCGGCTGATGCCAATGCAGTCAGTGCCGTCACCTTATCTCTGGACACCTCAGGGCTTACCACGCCGCTAGGTCCAGCTCCGGCCTCGGATTCCCGTCTCCAGGGACCTGGGTCAGGCAGCTGCCAAGGCCCGGCTCTAAAATGAGCCACATGCCCAGCCGGCGTGGCTCAGCGGTTGAGCATCGACCTGTGAACCAGGAGGTCACGGTTCGATCCCTGGTCAGGGCACATGCAAGGGTTGTGGGCTCAGTCCCCAGTAGGGAGCATGTAGGAGGCAGATAATCCATGATTCTCTCTCATCATGGATGTTTCTCTCTCTCTCTCCCTTCCTCTCTCAAATCAATAAAAATATTTTTTAAATAGCTGGCTGGATAGCTCAGTGGTTGAGCATCGACCCAGGAACCAAGGGGTCAGAGGTTTGATTCCCAGTTAGTCCACATGCCCGGGGTGGGGGCTCCACCCCCAGTAGGGGGCGTGCAGGAGGCAGCCAACAGATGATGAGTCTCATCACTGATGTTTCTATCTCTCTATCCCTCTCCCTTCCGATCTCTCTAAAAATCAATAAAATGTATATATATCAAAAATAATAATAACAAATAAATAAAATGGGCCACAATGAGGGGACCAGAGGGAGGAGAGAGGTCAGACAGCTGAGGGCAACTCTCTCTGAAGAGCTGCAGACACCCGGAGGTCCTTGGCCTCATCGATGAGCTACCCTGGCATCACCACCGGGCGTCAAAATCCTCCAAAGTTTGGGTGCCCGTAGGGTGAGTGACAAGACGGGAGAGCCCCATGTCCACCCAGCCCAGGTGTCCCCAGGACCTATGCTCCTCAGTGGGGATTCTGTCTCACAGAGAAACGTGAGCTGGAGCAAAACCCCGAGCCCCTCAGATTCCCGGGCGAACGCCACGGCCCCAGGGATGCCCCGCGCCCACCAGGCCAGGGATGACCAGGCCAGGGATGGCCACGCCGCCCACTCACCGACGGACAGCAGGTCCCCGAGGACCTGGAGGATGCTCAGGATGGACGCCCGGTCGGAGGAGCTCTGCAACGAGAACACAAGCGCCTTTTACTCCGAACGCAGGAGGTGGGAGAGGGCAGGGCTGTGGGCTTCCTTCCCCTGAGAAAGACTTCCTGCCATAAACAGCGCCCAGCCCGGCCGGCGTGGCTCAGTGGCTGAGCGTCGACCTATGAACCAGGAGGTCACGGTTCAATTCCTGGTCAGGGCACAGGCCCGGGTTGTAGGCTCATCCCCAGTGTGGGGCGTGCAGAAGGCAGCTGATCCATGATTCTCTCTCATCATTGATGTTTCTTTCTCACTCCCTCTCCCATCCTCTTTGAAATCAATAAAAATACTTTTTTTAAAAGGCCTAAAGGGGGACTCCCTAAATCATGACAATGAGGGGGCTCCCATGGGGCTCTGCCTCCCTATGTCCCCTTCAGAACCCCACCTGGAGGACCCGTTTTGGAGCAGTAAGATGGACAAAAGAGTAAGCACTGAGCCCAGCCAGTGTGGCTCAGTGGTTGAGTGTCTTCGACCTATGAACCAGGAGGTGACAGTTCAATTCCCGGTCAGGGCACATGCCTGCGTTGCAGGCTGGATCCCCAGTAGTGGGTGTGCAGGAGGCACCAGATCCATGATTCTCTCTCCTCATTGATGTTTCTATCTCTCTCTCCCTTTCCCTTCCTCTCTGATATCAATACAAATATATATATTAAAAAATGGGCATCGAGCCCACAATCCGGGCATGTGCCCTGACCAGGAATCAAACCTGAGACCCTTCAGTCCGCAGGCCAATGCTCTATCCACTGAGCCAAATAGCTAGGGCAGGACTCTGGCCCTTTGGAAGTGGACCCAAAGATGGTTCATAAGAGAAGAGAGAGTCCCGGGAATGGTGTCCCTAATCCACACTGATGTTTCAGGGTCCACCTCCAGCACCCTCCCCACCCCCCCAAAAAAAATTGCATTTCTTCTGAGAAGAGGGAAGGAGTTAAATGATAAAAGCAAGGCTGTGCAACGTTGGGTGACATAAGATGCCAGATTCGTTAGCTAATGACTATAATGTATTAGTTCATTATGAAATATGAGCCATAAAAGGGAAAATAGGGTAGGAAATGGACAGATGAGAGAAAGAGGAAAGGGGGAAACGACTCAAGTAGAAACTGATTAAAAAGAAGAAAAAGACCCAGATTTCATTTCCTTTCATTTAATTATTCATGCAGTCGTCTCGCAAACGTTCAGTGGAAACCATCCATTACAGTCGCCAGGCCAGGCCGTCAAGACACAAATTGCCTGGGAATCGGTGACCTCCTGGCTCATAGGTCAACGCTCAACCACTGAGCCACGCCAGCCGGCTGGGCGCTGGTGACATTCTTAACCAACCGATGACCAGCTCTGTGGAGCCACCAACCTGTGGACTTCCAGGTGAGTGAAATAATACATATCCTCACGTAGGAAAGCTACTTTTATTTGGATAGTTTGTTGTGGAATTTCGACGTGATGGAGAAAGAAGAAAATTTCACACCTCCATGTCCCCTCCTCCCAAGCACTATGGGTGGTGGTTGTTGGTTTTTTTAAAATATATTTGTATTGATTTCAGAGAGGAAGGGAGAGGGAGAGGGACGCAGACACATCAATGATGAGAGAAAATCATCAATCGGCTGCCTCCTGCACGTCCCCTACTGGGGACTGAACCCGCAACCCGGGCAGGTGCCCTGCCCGGGAATCGAACTGTGATCTCATGGTTCATAGATCAACAATCAACCACTGAGCCACGCCAGCCGGGCACAAGCACGATGGCTTTAATAAACAGGAAAGAAATTGATTCCAGAAACGATAGCACCAGCCCACCAAGAGAACCCTGCCCTCCCACAGGAACTAAGAGACAATATCGTCATATAGATGCTGAGCTCAGAATGATCTCAGCTCCGAGCCTGGATGGATCCGCACAAGATTGTTTTTCTTTAAGTGGAAATCATGGCTATCCGTGGACGGGGAAAAAAAAAAAAAAAAAAAAAAAAAAAAAAAAAGCCCCACAAACTCTCCACTGGCATTAATCTACGCACCGCTAAATTCACCAATAAATATCTTACACCATTTAGACGCGCCCCACCGCGCCGTTATCTCACCCACAGTAATAATAAATGAGCGATTCAAGGAGGCAGGATGCGACGGGCCTCGATGTTCCTTTAACGATCCTGTTAAAGGAATCATTGAGTAAATCCCCCGATGAAGACTTTCCCATTAAAAAAAAAAAAATGTGGCTCTGCCAAGTTTACAGAGAGAGGCAGGCAGTCGGAAGAACAAACAGTGTCTTTCACAGTCTGAGGGTGTTGGGGGCGGGGGGGGGGGCGAGTTTGCACTGCGATTTGCTCCAATTCTGGTTCGAATTTGTTGCTCCCTTGCTTGGCAATGTTCGTCTGCTGTGGCCTTCCTCCTCCTGACTCATCATGTGTCAGTAAGACTCTACCCATCACGCAGCCTTCGGAGGCTCATCTCCAGCCACAGCCCACACCCCAGCACTGCGCACGGCGGCCACCTAGGACCCGTCACCGTGGCCCACGCTCACCATGGGTACCTGTGCCTTCAAAGCTTTGCTCATGTTGCTACCACCGCAGGAGTAGGACTCCACCTCCCTTTTCCTTCCCATGAAACCGACTTCTATTTCTTTTCTTTTTTTTAATATATATATTTTTTCTTGATTTCAGAGAGGGAGAGAGAGATAGAAACATCCATGATGAGAGAGAATCATGGGTAGGCTGCCTCCTGCACGCCCCCTACTGGGGATGGAGCATGCAACCCGGGCGTGTGCCCCGACTGGGAATAGAACCATGACCTCCTGCTTCATAGGCCAACGCTCAATCACTGAGCCACGCCAGCTGGGCATTAAATTCTAATTTTTGGTCCCTAAAGAGTACGTCAGAATCTCTCCCAAATGCATGAGCCAAGAGCACAGGACACGGCTCATAGCCCTAGAAAACCACATTGCCAGGCGGCTGGAACACTCGCTGGAGACAGTCCCCGGTTAAACAAGGGACATTATTAAATTTGAAGTTGGCAATGAATGAGGGAAGGGAGAGCCGATCAGAAGCTTCCATCACTAAAAATGGTCCCAACGCCAAGGAGGGTGACCAGCAATTCTCTGTGTTCACATAAGAGGGTCCAGGGAGCCCTAACCGGTTTGGCTCAGTGGATAGAGCGTCGGCCTGCAGACTGAAAGTTCCCAGGTTCGATTCTGGTCAAGGGCATGTACCTTGGTTGCCGGCACATCCCCAGTATGGGGTGTGCAGGAGGCAGCTGATCGATGTTTCTCTCTCATCGATGTTTCTAACTCCCTATCCCTCTCCTTTCCTCTCTGTAAAAAATCAATAAAATATATTTTTTAAAAAAGAGGGTCTAGGAAGAAGCGGTGTCCTTACAAATTGAGTTCCGGTACAAGAAACAACTTCCTGTCAAGGTTGAAATGAATTCAAGAGAAAGAGGTGTTTTAAGGAGTTGGATGGAGACATCTGCCCATGAAACAAAATGAGATTTGTTTCCATCTGATGGGGGTTGGCGTGGAAACAGTGCAGCTTATAAAAGAAGAAGTTTGCCATCGTTGCGCCAACTGGGTGCTAGGTCCCATGGGCCATGCCTAGGAAAAGCTGAATAATCTAAAAATAGGTCTGAGGCCCAGCTGGCTTGGCTCAGGGTTTGAGCATCCACCTATGAACCAGGAGCTCACGGTTCAATTCCCGGTCAGGGCTCAAGCCCGGGTTACAGGCTCCATCCCCAGTAGAATGCGTGCAGGAGGCAGCCGATCCATGATATTCTCTCTCTCTCTCTCTCTCTCTCTCTCTCTCTCTCTCTCTCTCTCTCTCTCTTCCTCTATGAAATCAATAAAAAGAAATTTTTTTAATAAATAAAAATATTTTAAAAGAAGTAACACTTCTTTTTTTTTTAATATATTTTATTGATTTTTTACAGAGAGGAAGGAAGAGAGATAGAGAGTCAGAAACATCGATGAGAGAGAAACATCGATCAGCTGCCTCCTGCACATCTCCTACTGGGGATGTGCCTGCAACCCAGGTACATGCCCTTGACCGGAATCGAACCTGGAACCCTTCAGTCCGCAGGCTGACGCTCTATCCACTGAGCCAAACCGGTTTCGGCAAAGTAACACTTCTTAACTCCCAAGATTAGGCCATAAAAAGCTATGCAGCTCCTGCCTAATCCGCTGGAATCCCGATCTGGAGACCAGAACCACTTACAGTGGTCGGCAAACTCATTGGTCAACAGAGCCAAATATCAATAGTACTTCTTCAAAATAGACTCGCCCAGGCCAAAAACCGACTTCTGCGCATGGGCCACGAAGTTTCAATCGCACTGTATGCGCACCCGCACGTGGTATTTTGTGGAAGAGCCACACTCAAGGGGCCAAAGAGCCGCATGGGGCTCGCGAGCCGCAGTTTGCCGACCACAGCACTAGGAGAATGCTGAGGCCCCAAGGCAGCCATGGACCACGTGGGAAGACTCGTAGGGCACTCAGCCCCACCTAAACTCTCAACTCCATTCGGATCCCTCCGCCCCAGCCAACTTCCAGTGCAATCCCATGAGAGACGCCAAGTGAGACACACCCGGCCAAGTCCTTTCCAGGTCATGGGAAAAGTCAAACAGCTGTCGTAAGCCACTGAGTTTGGGATCATTTGTTACACAGCAATGGTGACTGAGACACAAACCAATCTCAGAAGCAGATGGATACAAAGCATCAGAACTTAGATTTCCAAAAACTGAATTTGAAATGCATGACGGTGAAAAACAAAAAACACTGAGGATCTAGACCAGCTGTGGACAAACTACGGCCCGCGGGCCGAATCCGGCCCGTTTGAAATGAATAAAACTAAAAAAAAAAAAAAGACCGTACCCTTTTATGTAATGATGTTTACTTTGAATTTATATTAGTTCACACAAACACTCCATCCATGCTTTTGTTCCGGCCTCCGGTCCAGTTTAAGAACCCATTGTGGCCCTCGAGTCAAAAAGTTTGCCCACCCCTGATCTAGACC